CCTGGCCTTCCGCAAAACCACCAAGTCCTGGCTGCTCCAGCAGGCCGGGGGGCTTGTGAAACATCCAGCTCCATGGAAATTTTGAATGTTGCGTCTTTTTTTAAAGTGTTGTCTTGTCTATTTATCCCCTTTCCCTTGTCTGTTGTGAACCGCCTGGAGTCCATCGGGAGTGGGCAGCATACAAGACAAATAAAATGAAAAATGAAATGAAAATGACTACAGCCCCCAGTGTCTCCCAGCCAGCATGCTTGAAGATAGATGGACTACAACTCCCAGTGTCCCCCAACCAGCATGCTTCAAGATGGGAGGACTACAATTCCCAATGTTCCCTAGCCAGCATGGTGGCTGAGGAATTGTGGGAGTTGGAAGTCCACACATCTTCATGCTGCCAAGGTTGAGAAAACATTGCACTAGCCAGAGGTGCTTCCCCCCCCCTTTTTTTTTTCCTTTTTTCCATAATCAGCCAGTATGTAAACATGTCACCCTCATTACAGATAGACTAGTTATATGAATTTCCATTTCTTATGTAAACATGTCCTTTACTAAAATATGTTCACTTCATAGGTATCTCTGTAGGATTTTAAAAATTTTTTTGGGGAGGGCGACAACAGGATTGCAAACTGCATTCTAGGATTTGGAAATATTGCCATTTCTTTTATCAAATTTTGAAAAGGCTCATCTCCCTTGCAGAGGCACCATGAGTGGTGTACAATATTGTTATATAAAAGTAGTATATAAAATCTGATGAATATACAGTGTAGTCTATACACAAAGTTGAATTACACTTAAACAGACTTTTATACTCACACTTAGGCCAGTGATGACCATTTGCAATAGTGCATTCCAAGTTTGGTCATTTATCAAACTACTTAGTTTTCTTTGGGGCGTAGCTTAAACAATTTGTGATCACTATATTGAGCAAATCCAGGAATCCTAATTTTGTCTCCCAAGTTAACATGTCCTCTGATTAAAAAAAATTGGGTATATCATAAATATTTTATGCCATATCTTCATGTGTTTATTATCTATAAAGAATTGTATGGAATTATCTAATGCTTCTTTGTATCCAAAGAGATTATTATGATGTCATGACTGACTATTTGAATGATTTTACAAGACAGCACTAAGTTAATTAAGCAAAATATCATCTTACTTTATTCTTTTGAATTTTACTAACAGTTTTTAAAATAAAGTACAAATCTATTAACTTTCACATTAGACAGGAATTACTGAGGGAAAAACATCAAGATATAGTATAACAAAGAAAGTGAAAGACTAATTTCTGTTTTTTAATTACGATAATGTACCACTGTTAAATCATTAAAGACAGGACAACAATATTTCTCAAGCTTGGAAAGATTTAAGATATATAGGCAAAACGACATGGCTTAATTTTTAAGTTTTGTACCTGATAACTTGTTGTTTGCTTTTCCAACAATAAGATTTATTCACTTTACCACACATCTGAATTTTTATCAAATGCTACAAAAAGATTTTTGTTGGACATACATGTCTAAAGAGGGGAAATCCCAATTTTGGAGAACTAAAAAAATGGTTTCCTGGTTGTAAGACAGTCTGTTTGCCCATGTTCCCATCAAAGCTTGCTTATAAGAATTTAGGGCAAGAAATGTGTGTGTGAAATTTGAAAAGTGCATGTATGCGGGGCCAAAGTTAACTATATTTCTGACCATAGACCAACTGCCATGGGATACCTGGTCCTATAAATAACCTTGTATTTGTAGATTACCCTAATAAAAAGAGGAAGAGGAGCCGGTGGAATCAAGACACCATGGAACAGAAGACCATCATCCCTGGCATGCCCACCGTCATCCCTCCTGGGCTCACCCGGGAACAAGAAAGAGCTTACATAGGTAAATGCTTGTTCTAGTTTTTGTTTTTCCTACCAATACTGATCCAGAAGCCATACTGTGTTTGTCTGAGGCATTTTCAATGTGTGTTTTTGAGAACTCAGGTTATGGCAGCCTTGTCTTCCTAATTTAATAAATAAACCTGTCTCCACTTAAAGAGTGACTTGTGCTCCATCCCAGCTCCCTGCCCTGTTTAATTGAACCCGTGTCCTCCACAGGCATGGTAGAAGTGGCAAAGTCGGCCGAGACAACCGGGACTTAAAACTTGCTGACATTCACTTGCTTGGCAAACTGATTGGCAGGGTCTCTGGTTCTCTTCACGGACTCCTTGCTTAGCAGAGAACACTTTTAAGAGTCCCTTTTCAAGCTGTTTTTGTTTGAAAGCAAGTACCTCTTTCGCAGTAAAATATAGCAAACTAATCTAACCATGATTCCCTTTCATTTTCTCTTGTGTGCTGATGCTAATTTTTCAAATCTAAAATTTGAGTATCCAGAGTGATGAAGACCAATAAGAGGAAAGTCTTCTAACTTCTTTTGTTTTTGGTGTAGTTTTTTTTTTTTTTTTTACAATACTTGAGAGTGGGCTCTGTTAGGTTAGCTTGGAGCTCTGAAGTCAAATGTACATAGTTGCTGGGAAAGGGATACTGCTTGGTTCAATGGGAGTTATGATGTTGGATCAGTTAATTGTGGAACAGAATGGTAACTGTTGTTGTATTGTGTAAAGGTATGAACATTATTTTTATTTTGTGTTAGAAGATGTGATATGTATATGTCAATGTCAATCAATGTTGGGCCTAAAATCAACTAGGGGTTTCTAATGTTGATTACTATATGCAATCCTTGCCTTTACATAAAGCAGGTTTCTCACAACTAACAGCTATTTAAACTCTTATACGTTGCATTTGGGTTGCACAGCAATTATTTTTAAAAACTCCTTTCTTTTGCATAATTCACTGAGAATTTTGAAATAAAATAAATCAGCTAACCATAGCACTACTGAAGGCTGCTCAGAAATCCATTATCAGACCATCATCATAATCCCTGAGTTTCTGCATCTCAAGAAAATGAAAAAAATGTGTCATTTAATGCTGGTTTGAAAAATCAATATTCCTCTCTACACCGCAGTTGAAAAAGGGCTGTTTTCTTTACATTTCTGAAGTTGACTTTTTGCTTATTTCAATGGACTCAACACTTAGTTTAATGAAGATGTGCAGTGTAAACTAATTCTGCAAAAAATAAATCCTACCGATTCAGTAAACTATAAAAAATCAATAGTCAAGCATTCTCTGGTGTTTGAGTCATTGGATTTAGAAATGTATCTTTCTAACATTTTTTTGTAAAATTCAGTTCAGTGTGTGAATGGATAGAACTGGATCAGAATTCTCAGTCTGTGCGGAGATAGGAGTACCACCCTTCGTTTACTGGAGTGCTCAAGATGGGCTTGGCAGTCCCCAGTTCAGTCGATAAAGATAATTAATGGGAGGGTGGGTTGTGGCTCTCATTAGCCCTACCAAGCAAAGGTCCATGCACATCCATAAGAATTCAGGGTAGATCTGTAAGAGGCTCCTGATACATGAAACTCTATACAACGGGATAATTTATCATTTGGCACTATTAATAGCAGATATGAAATATCACCTCAGATTAATAGTGCAAATTCAACTAAAGAGAGAGCAGTTGTGAAAAATCCCATACTCTTCTGAAGTAAAGAGTTTATAAAATGTTTGAGATTATGAACATTTGGAAATAGTATAAAATGCAAATTTTGTGGAGTTGTCTGTGTTCTTGAAATATAATGGATCAAAGGAAATGAAGCCCCCTGTATCTTGTAACAGAACTGAAACACAGCCAAGCGCTTGTTCAGGTTCTGAAACAGGAATGCTTGGCCTCTGAATTTTAGGCTCTATATTTTGATTCTTGGAAATGAATTCTGTTTTCACTTCAGCCTATTCTGAGCCTCCTTCACCTTGAGAAAAATTACCAAAAATATCTTTTCTGCCTTCCAAGAAATGATAACGTTTGATCTTACCCCTTGACTCTGCAATATAGTTGCACTTATTCTTACATTCAACAATAAATGAAAGTGGTTTTTTGACTCGATAAAATGTGCACATGCCTAAAAGTTAATACGTAATTCTAGATCCACGTCCTTTTCTGCCAGTATTTCTGTTTGAGCATGAAAATAAAAGTTGATTTGGAGTGACAGATCAGTTCAAAATTATTTGCTGTGTGATTTTATAGAGACACTTTATGATAAGTATATAGGCTTTGTTTTATGAAAATCAGAAACTAATGAATTTTCTTGGTTTGCATCTTTATACCCCATCCTTTCTGTTTTGAAAGGTACTTTGCTTGCTTTGAAAATAAGTGAAAGATAATGAAAAGCAAACAAAATAACCAGTAAAGGAAAAGAATGAAAAATGTTGATAGACCACAGTGTTAGTTAATATAATCTCCTAAAAGCTTACAAGTGTTCTACTCTTGTATTCCTGCATCTCTAATGTAGGTTTGGAAATGGATTCCTTGATGCCTACTAGGCTTTCTGCCCTGCCTAATTTAACTTTTGAAAAAAAGTTAAATTAAAAAGTGTGTACCGGAAAGATTTGCCCCAAGCCTGAGTTTTTACTTTGAACAATATCCTTGGGCCCCACATAGGCCACCTAGCCCAGTTCTTTTTTTAAGTGTGTTCCTCTGCCCAGAAAGAAGCAAAGGGAGTTTAAAAACAGCAACCCCTAATGTTTCCTGCTCCATGGACCCCAGGGAGGGAGAATGGGTTCACACACACACACACACACACATTGCTCGCACCAGTTCAGCTCGGTATTGGGCTATGTACTGCGAGTTAGGGACCCCTGGTTTAAAATATCCTGGGATAGTGGAAAAGTAGTGGGGGTCAGCCTTTCTAGCTTCCTACCTGGTAAATGGGTATTATTGGCTGTATTCCCTCTCCCTGGTAGCCATTTCATAAAAGCCATTTCAAATATGCCCACAACCAGTGATATACTGGAAGGACTCTTCTAAGAGCCAGTGGTGTTTTCCCCAGTTTTAATCCCTGTAGAAAAGGGATCTTGGTACGGGTGTGCATGGAATTAGAAAGGTTTTCTTCTGAACTTAAAACCACCCAATTTGCCACAAATTGCAGGTAGTCCTTGACTTAATGGAGCCTGCCCATTAGAGGCAAAAGTTGTGACTGTCGTAAAACAGGTCACCGTGTGAGTAGGCCTGTTTTTATTACCTTTCTTGCACTTCCTTGTAAAGTGACTGCCATCTCTGTAAAAGCAAACTTCGGCTGTTTTTGGCAAAAGTCAGAAGTGTAAACCCAGTTTTCGCTAAAAATATGAAACCATACTCACACGCTAGAGAAGTAGGTACTGTATAGACGATGGCATTACTCCCTCTTCCATATTCTTCTGCACATGTGACAATGGGTGTACCTTCGCTTTGTGGTTCTTTAGCTTGTGGCCTCCAAATTAAATGCATGGGTAAATGCCAGTGGGCCCTGACCAAAAGCCACTTTCCATCAAGGAATTTAAGGACTGTGGCTCTGTCTTGATACCCTTCATTAGTCGAGGTCATATTCGTTGTCTTGCACTCTGATTAAAATGTTATGGATCTATTTTTAAAAAGTAAATCTCTGACATTGATTAGTCCTGCCTTTAGGTGTTCGTTGCTCTATGCAGAATTGGATAACCAGCAAGTGAAATAAAGCATATTAAGATGTTGCATAACTCTGTATTTTAGTATTTAGTTGATACAGGCACAAGAGTTAATAATTTTAGTATTTATGAGTTAGGAGGAACAAAGCCTGTAAACCATAATCCCCCAAAATGTGATTCCAGTATGAACTGTAACTGCAATACGCATAAGACACTGAGGCTGATCTGATGTAAAAGAGTAAGAATTAATGATATTTTAATTCCCACGGAAGGCTGTCAGCAAGTTACAGCAAGTTAAAATGGTTATTTTTCAGTGTCAGACTCAATCAAAAACTTCCTTTTTTAAACAAAATCTTGAAATGAATGTCGTGCTTTCTGATGAATACTTGTTTTTTTAAGACTTACTTAGAAATAAAAAGGGCCGTTTCTGGATTCCTGGTAGACTTATTTGGCTGACATAACCATTGTAAGGTCTCCTCGTTCTTATGTTGATGTTAATCAGTCATCCCTTGCAAAATTCTCCAGTTCTTCATGTTTTGATGTTGAGATTTCAGATGTTTTTTGGTAACATTGTCTTTTTTTCCATCCTTTTTTCTTTCCTAACCTGGTTTCTTCCAGTGCAACTGCAGATAGAAGACCTGACTCGTAAACTGCGCACAGGAGACCTGGGCATCCCCCCTAACCCTGAGGACAGGTTGGGAAAACAGTTTTAACCAGCTGACAGTAACACTTTTTACCTTTCTCAATAAATTTTTGGTGGCCTCATAATGTCAATTCAATGAAGTTCCTTCCTAATGAAATACCTTCAGTGATCTGACTTGACAGATGGTAGCCAAGATCTGACTGGTAGGGAATTTGTGAAACCAGACCAGAAAGAGATCAGGTTTCCTCTTTGATGTGGGGTTGTTGATAAGCCTGCGTAGGCTGTCATGCTTAACCTGACTCGGGGGCGGGGGAAATGCATGGTGGCCAACTCATCTTAACATGTGCAGTGCTGGTCCTGGCAGAGTCCAGAGGTCTTTCTCACAGGTTCACGCTGAGGGATTCTCAGCCCAGTCTGGGAACTTTTTCTGACCGCTGATTTTGCAGTATTTTGCAGTGGTGGCTGAAGGGTGTGCACTAACCATTCTCTTTGGTAACAGCTACTACATAGCAGTGGCCAGTATCTTGCGGTCTGGGCACTCTGTACCTACAAGTGTACAGAATTGGACACCTGTGGTCTTGTTGGGATCAAGGGTCATCCCTAAATAAATAAATAACATGCACATGGTTTCATTTTCCAAAAGAAATTGGCTTCTAAAAAATTAATTTATCAGAAGGTGTAAGCTGGGAGTTGTGTTTTAGCCACCTTATCCAACTTACAAGCCAGTATTTAATTGTTAAAAATGGGAATAAGGAAGAAAGCCTTTCCTTAAATTTAGCCCATCTGAAATGGCAATTTGGAGGTATAAATAAAAGTGAGGCTGCTAAAACTTTTGGGAGCCTTGCAAGACAGTTTTAAATGCTAGCTCTTGAGATATATATATTGCCTGTTACAAAGAGCTGTGAAATGCCCTTTTGGCTTGCTTTTTAAATCGTAATAATCGGATTTAGATTTAAACATAATCGGTGAACTTCATGGTGGGACTAGATTGATGTTCTTTTTATGTTTATAAGAATGAAATGGGGTGGTTGGTTTTAATGTAATAAATGAATGAAAAAGTTAATGCAAAACAAGGGGTTATTGTTACTCTTTTTATATTTTTATATATACATATACATATATATAAGATGTTTGTTGAATAACGTTTCTTCGGATGAGACCATATTGGTTAAAATATTTGATACCTCTTTTCATTTATTAAAAATAAATTGTTTTATATACTTGCAAAAGGGCAGCTGTTATTATTGGAAATGTGAAACTATTAGGTATATAATAAGCTTGAAACTCATAAGGTTTAATCAATTTATTTCATGTCTGCATGTGTCTTTTAAAATTATTAATTTAGCGAATGAGTTTTTAAAAAAAAAAACTGGCTAGCAATTGCGGATGAGGGACAATGTTCGCCTTTTGGGTTGGTTAGGCCAATTTGGGTCCTAGTCGTAGAAGTGTAATTTAGACATGATCACTCCTTACCAAACCTGACAGTTTTATTTCATATTCTTGTGTTGACGATTCACTTCAGGCTGAGAAGACATGGGGATCAACTGGCTGTAATCAATCACTTAACCAGCTAGAAAAGAGAGATTGTCTAACTAAAAATCACAGGGTTTAGATTCTCATTATTTGAAGGATGTATTTTTTTTTTAACATAACATGACCAACATCTCTTCCCTTCTTGCAGCTGATTCTAAATTTTTATTGCAATATGTTTTGGGGAGGGGGTGGGGGAGATCCATAATCTTAACCAGAATTCTAGAGGTGTGGTTTAATAAATAAACCATAAACCCAGCTGTGGTAAAAATTTGATTTTTAACTGCAACGTTTTTCCTTTGTTAAAACCTCTGCTCTCTGGGTACCTGAACCCCCATGGAGAAAGCAGGTCTGTCTCTAATGGTTTTAAAGGCCCAGAAGGTGGCATGAGAAGGGTACATTTGCTCCATTTGTACCTTAAGCATATCCTGACTCTTAAACCCAATAATAAACAGCTTCATTTGGTCTCGATGCAGCAGCCGAAGGTAAAGCCAGCACAGAAACATCCGCCCTTTTCACGTGGTGCCAGTTGAATAGGCTTAATCTACTATTACCAGCAAGAATTCGATAGAAGCCTAACCTGTCTTGTTACTTCCTGATGTTTAAAACAAAAACAAAAGAGTCCAAAGTTAACCTGAATAATTCTTCATTGATTTATCTCCTGCGGCAGGGTTCTTTCTAATGTATGGCTCCGTGGAATAATGAAGTTGGAAAGTTTGTTCTCTGTGTGAATCAACTTTTTCCATCTTCCCTGCCCCCTCCCCTTTTTTAATAGGCACACTCATGGCAGAGCTGTTGTCATGGCTAGGTCTGACCCTGTTTTCCTTCCTTCCCCCCAGTAAACCCCCACCCCCCCACCCAGATTTTTCCCTTCTGGCGGTGGTTGGCCATTAACTGCCTTGTCCATGTCACATTAATGGATTTGAAAATTTACACCTTCCTTTTCCTGTGGTCTCTTTTTAATTTTTTTTTTTTTTTCTGAGTGGCACTAGAGTTGAGGTGAGCCAGTACTTAATAGGTGGCCTTAAATGTTTTGTCTCCCGTGAGAAATCACTGGATGTTGTTCCCCCGCAGGTCTCCTTCCCCCGAGCCAATTTACAATAGCGAGGGGAAGCGCTTGAACACCCGGGAATTCCGCACACGGAAGAAGCTCGAAGAGGAGAGGCACAATCTGATAACGGAGATGGTGGCTCTCAATCCAGACTTCAAGCCACCGGCTGATTACAAGTATGTCAGAGGGCGGATTCCTTAATCTGCAGGGGGTGTTCAGATACAGCAGGGATGTTGTGGCCCACCAGCGGAGCTGGCAGCAGATTCAGACAATGAGGAAGTTGGGGAGAAACATGGGCCAGTCCTGGAGTCTGGGGAAGGCTCTGAGGAGGGCTCTTTGTCGGAGGCAGAGAGGGGGCCAGGGCCGTCTGACAGTTATCGGCTGCCTTCGGAGTCAGACATCAGTGAGGCAGAAGAATAGCTGGAGCCTGTTCCCAGTGTGCGCATGCACTGAGCTGCCAGACGAAGGGAACAGCTAAAGAACAGGGGTTGACTTGGGAGGAAGGCCACAGGGGGACGGTGAATGGCCCCTCCCAGGGGGACGGTGAATGGCCCCTCCCAGGGGG